GATGTGTCCACTTTCAAGCGCGGAACGGTCCTACTGCGCCACCAGACTCCTCTCCCTCTCCCCTCCCCCCTGTCCGCTGGTCTATGTCAGACACCAGTACACCACTGACCTCCCCTACCCTCCCCTGACCTTCTCAGGTGCCAGCTGAGACGCTGGTCGGCCTACAGAACCTGCTCGTTCACCTGCGGGACGTCTCGGCAGAGAACGCGCACGTCTACCAGTACCGACTCTGGGACGCTAAGAGGGTCAAGGTGGAGACCGCCCAGAACAGGGTATGTAACACAGACCGTAACACAAGCCGTAACGCAGGTCGTTACACAGGGCGTAAAATAGATTGAACACAGACATAGATCGAACACAGACCGTAACACTGGCTGCGTACGTGCGGGCACTCGGCCGGCCGGAACTGGGCTGGATCCATTGGGCAATGAACAGGTGCTTTCTGTGACAGCGTCACAGCTGCAGGTCAGTCAGGGACACACAGACACTGCACCCGGCGCCCTTGTGCATGGTACAGGGTTCGCGGGTTTTAGCGGTAGGTTTTGCACCTAGAAAATTTAGTGTACTTTAGGTTATATCTTCGTCGTCTTTAGCTTTTAAGTGTTGAAGATGCGATCGACTTGTTGGGTAACAAGCCGGCCATGATCGTGTAAAATGGCTTCATCGTAGATCGATTAGTTTCTGAGATATAACCGGAAATGTAAAAGTGCAAAACCTACCGCTTAATCTCGCCAGACCTGTACCTGAGCCATGAGCGCGGCCATGTGTCGCCCCCAGGGCGTGTCGCCGGACGGTTCTGTGTGTCGGACTGAAACCTGAACCTGCCTGAGTGTTATGCTATGACTCCCCAGGGCGTGTCGCCGGATGGGGCGGCCGGCTACCGGGACGGGCTGCGGTGGACCACCAACGGCCACCCGCTCTCCGCCGAGGAGGTACAGAAGGTCGTCAGCTGGGTGAACCAGCTCTCCAGCTAGCGGCGCAGAGGTCAGTCACCGCACCGGGCGTATTGCACGGGGACCCTAACAGACGCCTCACTCCTTTCCCTCATCTCATTTGTTCTTTCATTTTTTTTTATTATTATAAATAATGGAGATAGACCAGAGCATTATCGGTGCATTTATTAGGGTCATGTTACTCCAACGGGGTTGCGTTGTCGGCACAGTCCTGTCTGGTCTGTGTGCTGCGGCGATGCTCTGCCATCCGGTGACCCAACGCCACTGTCCGCTGACCGAATGTCGGCTCTTTGCTGACCATGTAACGTCTGTCCGTCACGGTGGTGGCCGTGAACGCCTGTCGGACGGCGCCGGAGGGCAGCGCCGGCCGGCTGCTGTCACTGCTGGACCAGCTGCGACTACCGGACGCCGGAGCGCTGCCCGACTGGGGTCTACATCCTGGTATGTTACTGGGAGCGGCACGGTGTGTGTTGGGTGCTTCTGACGGTCAGTTGTAGTAACTGTTAGTTCCTCTACTGGCCACCAGGTGAAAAGCGTATTAGCTGTACAGCAATGTAGAGTTGTTTATTTAGGAACCAATTCTTCGACACCAGTAATGCGTATATTGATTCGGTAGCTTTCGGAAGCTTCTGCTCCCTTCGTCAGCCGTGCTTTAAAATGCATTAAAATACAAGACAATACGTCTCAAACGTCTCAAACACCTACCAAAATACATACCACCACGAGGTATGTATCCTGCTCACGACCAGTGAGCAGGAGACCGGTGGCCAGGAGACTGGTAAGCAGGAGGACAGACAGGAGACCGGTGAGCAGGAGGAGACTGGTGGACAGGTGGAGGACAATGGAGATAAGTGGGTGGTCAATCTGTCTGGGGTAAGCCTAAGTGACGATGAGGTCAGTGTGCTACGTAAAGGGCTCAATTTTGTACCGACGCCGACAAGCGTTCCAGTCGCGGATTTTGTTTCGGCGGTCGAAAGTGTGTGCCGTTCAGACGATGTAACACCGGATGTAGCGAATAGGCTTAGATTCGAGGTCACCAAAGCTCTCAATTCCTTCCGTCCCCCGCAAAGCAAAAATCTCAGTAAGGGAGAGTGGAAAGCGTTACGTGACCTACAAGATAGGCAAGATATTATGATTTTACCTGCAGATAAGGGTAGATCTGTATGTGTGATGACCTGTGAGCAGTATCAAAGTAGGTTAGAAACACTAATAGGGGATCACGACACGTACACTGAACTGGATAGGGACCCAACCGGTAGGTACACACGAGAGGTAAGGGGGGCGCTAAAGGACTTAGAACAACAGGGCAAATTGGACAGAAAAACGTATCTAAAACTGTACCCGTCGGACCCGACTCCGCCATTGCTTTATGGGCTACCGAAGGTGCACAAGCAGGGCGTTCCGCTACGTCCCATCGTGTCTAGCATAGGCAGTGTAACGTACCAGCTGTCCAAACATTTAGCTAGCATATTATCTCCTCTGGTAGGCAAGTCTGAACATCATGTCAAGGACACGGCGAGTTTCAAAGAGAGTTTACGAGATGTTACGCTCAGTGACGATGAGACCATGGTTTCTTTTGACGTCAAAGCGCTGTTCACATCGGTACCGACAGAGGCAGCATGTGAAGTAGCACGCCAGAGACTCGAAGAAGAGTTTTTGGATGAGGAAAGCAAGGTAAGAGCGGAAACAGCACTGGAGGTCGAGGATATCATAAAATTGTTACGGCTCTGTTTGGGTACTACTTACTTTAGGGTTAACGGAAAGTTCTTTAAGCAAAAGTGGGGCACGGCCATGGGGAGTCCAGTGAGCGTTGTGGTGGCCAACTTGTTCATGGAATCGTTCGAATCCAGTGCACTCCAGTCGTTTCCACACCCAGTGAAACTGTGGAGACGCTACGTAGATGACACGTTCGTGATCTTAAAGAAAGATCAGGTAGGTGAACTACTCGACCACCTCAACGCTCAGCACGAGAGGATTGAATTCACGCTCGAGGAGGAAAAGGAGGGATCCTTACCTTTTTTTGGATGTAAAGGTACATAGACTGGGAGGGGGGACCATGAAGACCGAGGTGTTCAGGAAAGCAACTCATACGGACAAATACCTTCACTATGAATCACACCACAGCTCACAGCACAAGGCATCAGTCCCACAGACACTTTTCACACGGGCATCACGACTCACGACAACACCTGAGGACGAGGAACGCGAGACAGGGAAGATAGAACGGGCACTGGTGAGGAACCACTACCCAAAGCGAATGGTGCGCCGTATCCACAGGCGGGTAAAAAATAGAGAACGACTACGCATGGGAGAGGGTGGTGGTTCTGAACGGGTAGGCAGGGAACAGGAGGAGGACAAACGGGTTTATGTAAGCATCCCTTACATCCAGGGGGTGAGTGAACAGGTCACGCGCGTCCTCCGACCCTACGCGAAGGTCAGCACGAGACCTGCAGCGAACCTTAGTGCTAGGCTCGTCAAACCCAAGGACAAATTAGGGATCAAAGAGAAGGCTGGTCTGGTCTATCAGTATAAGTGCCAGTGCGGGGAACATGTCAACTCCAGCATGACGTGTTCCCAGTGTACCTGCATGTAGTTTCTTTATTCCTCAGCAGTTGTCATCCCCTTGGCGTTAGTGTTTCGCGTCTCTCAATTGATCACTCCCGCCTCTGATGGCTTATCCTGCTATACAGGGCCGGATATTGTTTGGAGCTGTTTGGACACTTGCGTCAGCGGCTGTGGCGCCTGACGGCCGAGCCGACGGCGTGCACAGCTCAGCTGTCTGAGGTCAGGGCTGCGACACAGCTCAGCTATCTCGGGTCAGGACCGTGACCTATGAAAGGACCCAGAGAGGGATCTAACATCGATGATTCCCTGCTTAACCCTAACAATCCCCACTTTTTTGTCCGCGATATAAAAAACACATGCGGTTAGAGTACCTGTGTCGAATTAATTAACTGGTTGATAGGGGCTGGTTGATAGGGATGTGTTTTTTTTTTATAACTCGCATGTGTTTTTTATAGCGCGGAGAAAAAAGTAGGGATTGTTAGGGTTAAGCAGGGAGTCACCGATGTTAGATCCCTCTCTGGGTCTTTTCATAGGGGGTCACGGTCCTGACCCGAGATAGCTGAGCTGTGTCGCAGCCCTGACCTCAGACAGCTGAGCTGTGCACGCCGTCGGCTCGGCCGTCAGTCGCCACAGCCGCTGACGCCAGTGTCCAAATAGCTCCAAACAATATCCGGCCCTGTATAGCAGGATAAGCCATCAGAGGCGGCAGTGATCACCGGAACGGGCTGCATGGTACAGGACGGGCTGGGAACACGTCAACTCCAGCATGACGTGTTCCCAGTGTACCTGCATGTAGTTTTTTTCTTAGGTGTTGTTTTTATCCGCTGGGACTGAGAGCGTGAGATGATGTTTTTCGTACTACGCTGGAGTACGAAAAACATCATCTCATGTAGTTTCTTTATTCCTCAGCAGTTGTCATCCCCTTGGCGTTAGTGTTTCGCGTCCCTCCATTGATCACTCCCGCCTCTGATGGCTTATCCTGCTATACAGGGCCGGATATTGTTTGGAGCTGTTTGGACACTGGCGTCAGCGGCTGTGGCGACCGACGGCCGAGCCGACGGCGTGCACAGCTCAGCTGTCTGAGGTCAGGGCTGCGACACAGCTTGTAACAAAGTTCATTCCCAGCCCCCTGCCCTTACTAACAATGTCCTTTTATGGTCCTCGTTCCTTACCTGTGACGCCTGTCCTGACCCGCTTCTGATTGGTGTTATGATATGACGTACATGTGTGACGTATGTATGACGCGTGGTATATGTCGCGCCGGAGCGGGCCGAAGCCCCGGCAGTAGCAGTCGCAGTCGCAGTCGGACCGAGTGAGAGCCGCTCCCTCGCCGGTCGTTATTCTTCACTCGTTCTTTTCGGCTCGTCATCTCGATTGAACTCATTATCTCGGACATTCAAATATATCGTGGAAAAGTGAAACAGTTTATTGGAAAAGCACGAAGAACTAGACTATCAACGAACATTATTACAAGGAATTTGGTGCCGTGACCCGGATAACGTCGGGCAAAGACTTTTGAAAAAATTTGCGCGTCTTCGACTCATCTCTGGCGGACTTCTGGGCATCTAGACATCTCTTCACTACAAAGCAGCGGAACAGTGAGCCATTCCATCCTTTTCTTCTTTAAAAACACTCTCGCTTTCATTGTTTGTTTCTTTGTGTCACTGAATTGTTTGAAAAATGACCGAGGCCTCAATTGTTACGACAGCTCTTAATAGTGTAGTGCAAGAGATCCGAATATCAAGCTTAACTAAACACGTCAGGCCCTTCCACGGCGAGGGGACAGCTAAATTTTATCAATGGCTAAACGATATGGACCAGCTTTCGAACACAGTTGACTCAGACAGGATGTGTGTTCTGGCCACCCTTACTCTCGGGGGACCAGCCGGGCTTTTCGTGGCCCGCCTGACAAAAACTCACGTTTCTTGGACAGAACTACGAGAAAAGCTCAGGAAAAGGTACGGAGAGACGGAGGATCCTCGTATCTCAAAAGAAAAAATCCGTCATATTAAACAGAACAAAGGAGAAGCAGTACACAACTTTGCGGAAAGACTTCGCGCCGCCGCGGCTGACATGTTTTCTGACATTGACAGCCCCGACGCCCAGGACGTACTAACGGACACCTTTCAGCGGGGACTGAGGGACGATCGCCTTGCTAGGACACTGATTAGGAAGAACTGTAAAACGTTGGACGAGCTGGAACATGAAGCGGAACAGGAGACAAGGACGGACAAAATATTTAGTTTGTACCGTAGGGACGAGGAACCCATGGACGTAGACATAGTGAAAAAGGACGAGGTAGAGGAACTGAGGAAAAGAGTGACTGACTTGGAAAAGAAACTGGAACAACGAAACACGACACAAAACCGCGGACAGACACAAAGACAAAACCGACCACGTGCGACGACGACACGACCACCTGTACCTCCTCCACCGCCTCACATGTACGCTCCGACACAACCGAGGCCACCACCGCCTCACATGTACGTGCCGACACAACCACCTGTACCACCGCCGCCGCCTCACATGTATAACATGCCACCGCCTCCACAACCACACCGCCACAAATGGACACGAGACGGCCGGCCAATCTGCTCTGTCTGTGGACGGATCGGCCACACCAGCAGATTCTGCCGGGCGGAAAACTGAAAAGGGCCCCTGGGAAAGACGGACCTCCTAGGCGGGCCCAAACAAACGGTGGTCCAAGAGACCCCGTTTCATCCAATATTCAAAATGGCCCCCAAATTGCGCGCGTCTCGGTAAAACCTGACACACCAATGTGCTGGTTACATTTAGGAGGTAGGAAAACGTATGCTCTTGTGGATTCAGGTGCGGATATTTCATTGATCTCTAAGGAGGCTTTTGACAAAATTCCAAGGAAAAATATTCGCGAGTTTTCAACTGCGGACTGCACCCCTCTCCAATCAGTGTCAGGACATAGGCTGGAAAATTTTGCAACGGCTGTGATTCAGGTCAGTATCGCTGGTTTTGATCGGCCCTACTGTTTTCAGGTTGTTAAGGGGCTCAAAAATCAGTGCATCTTGGGAAATGACTTTCTGACGGAATTCTCGGCTAAACTGGACTTCGGACAAAGAACTCTGAACTTGGATGGTCATATCATCCCTCTTCGACCCCAAAAACTTACATGTCATTCTGCAACTTCGCTCATTCGTCTGTCGGAACCGGTCACAATTCCCGCTCAGTCATACATGGAAATTCCTGCAAAAGTAAATCGTGACCAGCTCATTAACCCATTAGTGCCCAAGGTCCTTAAAGTGGTGTAAATTGTTTCATTTTTGCTGTATATACTTATCAGGAGTCACTGATTGCCTGTGATTTTTTGGAAAAAATTGGAGATATTTTTTACCTGTTTTTGGGGGTGGCAACATTTGTGACCAACGGGTCAATAAACACCATGAAATGGAATTTTAACCACTTTTTCTTACTTTTGTTTATAATAACGTCCAATCTTTCTGCGAAGACTTAAAATGTCAGCATCTGTAGTTGAGCACCTGTATTTTACGTTATTACCACACACAAAATCCAACACAAGGTAAAAGATAGTTGACCTGCTTTCTTTGATGTCGACAAGGTCACGCCCACTGCGCATTTTTGGGCTTGTTCAGATCATCAGCCATACGTAGGAACCCAACTGGTGCTGATGCCCCTCTTGATCTTCCGTGTGCTCATGGAGTGTGGTACACCTTCATGCACTTTGGGTGTAGTGGAACGGCGCACTTCTCGCAGGACATGTTGGTTCGGCTGTTGCACACCTTGCAACGGTGGAACCTGGTTTTGAGCTCTGCTGGCCAGTGATGTAGACCGTCGTAGCGGAGGTCTTCTGGTGCTTGGTGGCGGCCAGAGAAGCTTGCTGGAGGACGCGGCACCGTGTTCTTCTTGATGAGGACGTACGTGAGCTCCCGCAGGAAGGGAAGTTGCGGTCCCTTGGCATGCCGTTGAGACAGGAGCCAGGTGTTTGTCCGGGCAGCGTCAACTCCCCACTGGAAGAGCGGCCACCACCACTTCTTGCTGCGTATGGTACTGCGGTAGAGAGCAACACACTGATCAAACAGATCCACACCGCCCATGTGGGTGTTGTATGCATGAAGAGGACGGGGCATCTGTACAGCGATCCTGCCACCTTGCTTCTTCACATACCGGCTGGCGGTAACGAGCGGCTCCAGCGGCTCACAGTTCGTCGCCACCGTCACGACGCGATTGTCGTTCCACCGCACAACCAGGTTGTCACCGTCAGACAGCCACTCCATTGTCCCACGCTGCTTCTTCTCCAGCACCTTCTTGTCTGAAAATGGAGCGCCACCAAGCCTGTTTTCGCGGACGGTTCCACACCCGCCAAGACCCATGTCCGACAGCACGTCCAAGAGCTCGAGTGATGTGAACAGGTTGTCGAAGAATATAGCATGGCCTGGTGGGACGGCGCACTTGTTCAGCAGGCCCAGCACCACGTCAGCTCCCTTCCCCAGGCCCGTGTCAGCCAGTTGGGTGTCGGCCCCACAGTACGGTTCCGCATGATAGAGATATCCGGTGGAGGCTGCCAGACACCACAGTTTGTACCCGTATCTTACAGGTTTGCCCCTTATGAACTGCTTGGTGCTGTGCCGTCCATAGTACGGTACCATTGTCTCGTCAACGCTCATGTTTCTGGTGAGAGCTGCCGTCTTGAATCCGGCGTTCAAGTGCTGGAAGTACGGACGTACCTTGTAGTATCTGTCCTTGCTGATGTTGCTGTTGTCCGCCAGGTGCAGATTCTGGAGAAGTTCAAGAAACCTGTTCCTAGGCATGAGCTCCTGTGCCCACACAGATGACACATCGTCCTTTGCAGACCACAGATGTTTCTTGTTGTGCGTCGTTCTATAGCCCGTCATCATCATCACACCGATGATTCCCAGCAGTTCCTCCATCGTCATGTTCAGTCGTCTTCCGTGTTGCGTCGCGTACAAGTTGCTCTGCTCCAGGATATTTTCCAGCAACTCTCTCGTGAACATCTTTTGGAACAGCTCACTTGGAGATGTGTCACCGACTTCTGAAGCATCGTTAGGGTCGCCAGCAGACAGTTCAACCCGAAATGTTGGTGGACGGTGCCTCCAGTTCCTGACCTTCTTCCTTTTAGGCCCTTTGACAGAGGTACATTGATCCGGCTCTTGTGTTGCAGAAGCAGCGACGTCACCTGATCCCTTTTCGTGTGTCCCATCGCGAGGAGCTGGAGACTGCTCCCCCGTCACTTCCGCTGATGTCCCCAGGACTCGGCGTGGGAGATGGGTTGTGTCACCAACGGTTTCGCCATCTGACTTGTCGGAGTCTTCGTCGGTATGGGCGTCATCTGCAACGAGAGAACCATTGACTCTGTAAGCTGCCCTAATTCCTCTATTACTCCTTTACTGCCAGACCTAATCACGAAAGGGATGCCTCGGGGTAAAAGCAAGACGTCTGCTGGGAATACAAGGGCTTTCCAGACCACCTTCGCTACGTTGATTTAGTAGTCAGCCGCAAGCTCGTTGATGTGAACCATGCCAGTCTTGCAACATCTTACCGTAATATACTTTGGTATATTTGTGTACGATATAATTGCTGCCACAGAAAATGGAACTCAGGAAGGCAGGGACCCCTCCCCCCAACCGTCCACAAAAACGTCACACTGACTAGAAGGCGCTGTTGCATAAACGTTCGCAAGGAAAACACTAATCATTAACCTTTGAATATGACAGGCTTAGGGTCATTTCACAATACTACTGGTAAAGTAAGTCAGGTAATGTGTAGTTTTGTATGTGAATTCGCACATAATTACGAGCTTAGACGCAAACATCGGTAGAAAAAAATTATCCGCAACCGACCCTCCTATAGCATAAGGCCGCCAGGACGATGTAGCTCTTTTACTCTGTCCACACGTGTAGAGAAGTGCGTAAACGTAAGTGCGACCCTGTATTTTATCAATCATTCTCCTCCCATCCAACAACAATGCTCACTCATTCACACTACGCTGTAATTATGCCCTACTTAGTATAGTCTGCCTACTACATATACCCCTTCTCATCCCCATTATCCACAATTTCCGAGAGCCCACTCACCCTTTTCGATGGGGGGCATGAGTATAACATCGATGTGGTCCTCGACATCTTCATCTTCAAGCCAGCTGTCACTCTCCAGAAGGTCCAATATCTCATTTGCCGTGAGCCTGAAATGTGAAAAAGTCATATTTATGTTGGGTTTCTGCCCGTTGGTCACATTTGTTGCCATACATTATTTGCACGTGTGCCAGACAAAACAAAAAGCAAATGGAGTGAAACTAATATTTACAGGTTCTAAATAGGTTTAAATTCCACCCATACGACGTGTGAGAAATGATTTTTCTGAGAAAATATGAGTTTACTTACGGTTTTTTTCGGACGCGGTCCGACCGAGCTCCAATCGGCGCCGACATCTTGCTGACAATGCCGAGATAGCGTCGCTTGTGAGGTTGCCATGCGCAAAATAGTACTGGGATCCTCCAGCTGGAAGATGCCTGAACGCGGGCGAAGTGGACCTTCCCAAAAGATGAAGCACATTTGACCGACAAAAAATCATTAACTTTGTGGTCACAAATGTGACCAACGGGCTCTAATGGGTTCAGGATTGTTTAGTACAACCGCTCAACAATGTTCCGATCTTAGGAGACGAACCTGGTCTTTCGTTAGTAAGTAGTGTGAGCAAGGTCATCGAAACACGTCAGATTGCTGTAGTCATTGTTAACGCCACCGGCAGGGACTATACGTTGCCCGCTCGCTCTGTGGTTGGGATTGCTGAGGTAATTGAGGACATTGAATCATGTGTTTCGTCTGTGAACCAACCCAATCAGGATTCAGCAGGACCGGATGACATTCCGGAAATTCAAAAGGCTGACCTGTCTCATATGTCCGAGCAACAGCGCCAAAAGTTAGTGGCTTTATTGGAACGTAACAGTGACCTCTTTGCTAAAAATGATTGTGAATTAGGAAGGACTCATCTTTTGAAAGCGAAAATTGACACTGGCGACCATCCTCCTATTAAACAAAATCCATATCGGCTACCATTCAGTCAACGACAACTAGTGCAAGAACATATTGATAACATGTTAAAAGCAGGTGTGATTTCTCCCAGTCAAAGTCCGTGGGCAAGCCCCATTGTGATAGTGGACAAAAAGGACGGATCAAAAAGATTTTGCGTGGATTTGCGTGCGTTAAATCGGATTACCAAAAAGAACAGTCACCCCTTGCCACGTATCGACGATATACTGGCCTCACTTGATGGATCAAAATATTTTTCGTGTCTGGACCTCCGCAGCGGCTATTGGCAAATTCCTATGGATGAGGACTCAAAAGAAAAGACTGCATTTACTTGTTTTGCAGGTTTACATCATTTCAACGTACTTCCGTTTGGTCTCGTCTCGGCCCCTGGTATTTTTTCTGAGCTTATGAACGAGGTTCTACGCGGAATTCAGTACAAGTTTACCATAGCTTATTTGGACGATATCCTGATTTATTCAAAAACGTTTGAGGACCATCTGGAACATATTGACGCTGTCTTTTCGCGGTTACGGAACGCCGGACTAAAAATGAAAATGTCGAAGTGCGAGTTCTTGAAAAAGGAGGTAAATTATTTAGGCCATGTCGTTTCCGCCAGTGGTGTCAAACCGGATCCAGCAAAAGTTAGTGTTATTCAAAATCTAGAGCCACCAACGGACGTCAGAGGCGTTCGTTCATTTATAGGCATGTGTTCCTACTACCGCCGGTTTGTGCCTCATTTTGCAAAAATAGCCAAACCGCTAACCGAACTGACCAAAAAGAATCGCAATTTCGTTTGGACAGATGCATGCCAAACCGCTTTTGAGACCTTACGTGCCTCACTTACTCATGCTCCCATACTTGCTTTTCCGGATGTCGAAAAACCTTACAAATTGTATACGGATGCGTCAAATTATGCGATCGGTGCGGCTTTAGTTCAGGATAGTCCATTTGGCGAACGTGTAATTCAATATTTGTCTCATCAATTAAACGAAACTCAACAACGCTGGCCAATCATCGAAAAGGAAGCTTACGCGATTGTGTTCAGTGTCCAAAAATTCCGACCGTACTTGTTAGGATCAAAATTCACTGTATTAACAGACCATAAACCTCTTCAACATTTATTTACAAGCGAAATGAAAAATGCTAGGATACAAAGATGGGCTATCATGTTGGATGAGTACGGGTGTAATGTAGAATACGTCAGTGGCAGTAAGAATGTTGTCGCTGACGCATTGTCACGCTTTGGCCGACCAGCGACGAATGATTCGTCACCAGGCCCCACTGATTACGTGAGCCGGAAGGAGGAAAGCGTTTGTGGACAATGCAATGTAAATAGTGTAAATAGACGTAGTGTTCATGTTATAGATTCGGATGTTGCACCTGCCGTGCAACTGGAAACAGATATTACTTGTGAGAACGCTGAGGGGAACAAAAAGGAGAAGTTTCGTGAGTTTTTGAACAATCATCCCGACTTTCAAACACTCCAGTCCGAGGACGCTGAGATTCAGCGAATTGTGAAAATTTTGAAGGATCCAACCCACCCAAATCATGTTAGTATAGCAAAGTTTTATGTTATGGACGACGGATTATTGTACCGGGTTTCTGAACCGACAAAATGCGAAAATTTTGTGGGCATGCAACTTGTTATTCCGGAGTTTCTGCAAAAACCGTTGATTGACGAGGTACATTCGGGTTATTTTGGCGGTCACCTAGGTATTGACAAAACATATGACAAACTGCGTTCTCGTTATTACTGGTCCGGCATGTATAGAGATGTTGTACAGTTTTTGAGGGGCTGTGTTGCCTGCAACATGAGGAAATTAAAACGTCAGCGTCCCCCGTTACAAAACATGCAAGTCCCCAAATATCCTTTTGAACAGATAGCCATAGATACTTCAGGTCCGTTCCCAGAGAGTTATTCAGGAAATCGTTACATTGTCAATATCATTGACTTATTTTCAGGATGGCCGGAATCGTTTGCAACGTCGTCCAAATCCGCCGATACTGTAGCAAAAATTTTGGTTGAACATATAATTCCGTGGCATTCATGTCCCCGTGTCATTGTCTCTGATAATGGAACAGAATTCTGTAACGCTGTCATTGATCAACTGTCCGCCTTCTTCAATATCAAACACATTAAAACGTCGGTATATCACCCTCAGTCCAACGGCAAGGTTGAGCGATTCAATAGAGTACAAAATGATGCATTAGCTAAACTCGTAGACTCTTCTTACAGAGACTGGGATACAAAGATACCTGGTATTTTATCTGCATATAGAACCGCAAGACATGAAAGCACAAAGTATTCCCCGTTTTTCATACTTTTCGGACGTGATCCCGTTCTTCCGTGTGATACCCTACTCGCCCCAAAAATTCGCTACCACGGCGAGGAATATCTCCCAACCATGCTGGAAAATATGCACAAGGCTCATCATCATGTTCAGCATAATTTAGCTCAAAGTCATGAAAGGAACAGGCTTTACTATGATAGGAAGGCCAAACCAGTGCAACTAAAACCAGGGGATATGGTATACTTTAGGGATCCGACGGATGCAGTTCGGCCATCAAAATTAGCTTCAAACTGGAAACCATATTACCGCATAGTCAAGGCTCTTAGTGACGTCACTTTCGTTATCAAACATCAGTTATCGGGACAAACCAAAGTGGTGAACGCTCACAACCTCCGACAGGCAAACGCAGAAAACATGTGGAAATACACTTCCGACGAACCATCCTACATTGACAGCAAATATCAACAAAAACGCAGGTCTCACATTCCCATCAGAGTTCAGCCACCCAGGCAATCAAAATATTCTGCTACACAGGATCATGAGCTGTTGGACTTTTGCGACGGACCAGTACGTACACCGCACACTTTGGACCGACGTGACCCGCAGGACCAGGCGACTGCTGATGTAGGTGACAGTTCAAATGACTCTATGGCGCCGCGAATTCTTTCGGAACCCCCTGACATTTCTGACAATAATTCGGAGGATTCTTCGGACAACGTACCTCTTGCTGAACTTCAAAGACGCTGGAAACGCCAATACTCTGATTCGGACCCTGAGGACAATATACCTTTGGCAAAATTAGCGAAACAATTATCCGAAGGTGCCACGGAAACACCTACTGAGACTCCGAGGGAATCGGTTAAAAGACCACGCATTCTGTCCGACACCCAAAATTCAGAGGATGAAACTCGGTCACCGCGCGAAAAATCTGGCAAATACGATGTAAACAGTTCGGAATCTGAAACCTCGGACCTGGAAGGATCTGACGCTGGTGAATGTTGTGTGAGTGTGAATGCAACTAACCCTGGTGTGAATGAGTCCAGTACAAAAGCAATTGCAATGCAGGTGATTGAGAATTATGGAGCCACAATGGAGAGAATGCTGGCTCAACTGTTGAAGTCATAGGATATGTTATAGATTTTACTTGTAGTTTACAGGCTAGTGTGCCTAAGTTTTGGAATCAGGCCGTAGTGCCATTGGACTGTGAATTGTTGTGGATCAGGCTAGTGCGCCTCAAACTTTGGATTCGGCCAGCGTGCCATTGTGATGTGGATTATGTGTTATGAACGATGGCATAGTGAGCCTATGCATTGTGTTATGGCGGAAGCGCCTCATGGATAGGACAGGGAATTGAGAAGTTTTATGTGTTTGGAGAGATATATTGTGTCATGCTTTTAATGGACAGAGGACCATTTAGGTTATGTTATATTTGACCCGTGTGTCATTTTGTCACCAATATGTGCTTGTGTGTTAATTATGTCGTTATCCGTCAGTGACTTTCGTTTGTGTGCTTACAGATATGGAAGCGAGAATGTTTATCCTACTGCCTCTTTTGCTGACATCTGCTGCGACACGTTCTTCTTCTCACGTGCCTCTACATGACGTTCGCCTTCCGACTGAGACCCGAACGACGTGGAAACTATAGTTCGTTTTTCTTAAGTTTGCCCCTCACTGTAAACGCCTCTTTGAACACAGCACGAGAATTGCTAGCTGAATTACTGAGAAAACTGGTTAGCGCACATTGTATTGTAGATATGAATAATATTTTCAAAAATAAGTTTTGAACACCGACGATTTGACGTTATGTTAAGCGCCGTGCAATTTATTTATTAGTTCAGACATAATTCCTGAGGAATCGTCTATCCCTGTGGGCCTGTAGGTATTGGCAAACACGATTTACGAGTCTGTGAAATAGTAAATAAATTTGATGAAATTGATCGTCTGTGAAATCTTGTCAAATCAGTGTGCGCCAACCAGTTTTCTCAGTAATTCAGCTAGCAATTCTCGTGCTATGTTCAAAAAGACGTTTACAGTGAGGGGCAAACTTAAGAAAAACGAACTATAGCATCGAAACTTGAGTACCGATTGTGTGACTTTTCGAAGCACAATAGCTGTAAATGTATTTTGAATATGTTTATTGGAATTAATCATGAAAGCTTGTTGTCCTTTATCTCCATAAATTGTTTTAATTTCATGTCATTTTTCTTTTGTCAATGGTTAAGACTTTTACGTCACCGTTTTATAAGTAGTAAATGTAAATGTGTTTCACGGATTTCGGGTCTAAGTCTTTACCCTTCTGTCCTGCTACGCCGTTACATACCCGACTCGAATCCTGCCCCTGGCTCAGCTGTGACGCCCCAAGACACGACCGACGCTGCAACGCTCAATGACCTGACCCGACCGGTCAGCACCGCCCGTCCGAACAAAGACAGTCGTCCCGACTCAACCCCGTCACCAGACGACACAAAGCCTCATATTGCGCACCAACCCGACAAGATATGCTTACGCCCGGTTTCCAGCCGGCAGGGTGTGAACGCGGCGACCTCGACCGGATGGCTCCGATGACTGGTTCGTCAGCGCTGGCCTCGCCACCCGAGCCAGCGGCGCTGTTGACAAATGTCAGCGCCGGCCGGCCCCGTGACGTCCGGTGTCATACTGACTGACACCCCATCACTGCTGACGTCGGTGGGAGCCGCCGAACAACGAACTGACACCGGTCATCTGACATCATCGGGGGGGGCCATCCGTGTCATCGCCGGTCACCATTCTTCATCGCACGCTTCACCGCTCGGCTGGCACGCGCGCACGCCCGACGTAAGCCGAAGCAAGTCGCCGTCGCGAGGCTGCCGCTGCCGCCGCACTGCTGTAGTCGTCACTCCGCTTCGCCCTGCACGACTTCGCTCGCTCTCTGCTTCGACTGGCCGGCGTTAGGCGCTCGCTGACGTAAGTCGAGACAAGTTCGCCGTCACGATGCTGCCCGCCGTTGCCTCTCACAGCGCCACCTAGCGGTTGCGGACAAACGCCACCTAGCGTTGTGAACGATGCGAGCGCCACCTAGCGCTGCGTGCTCTAAAGACAGACGCCATCTAGCGAGTGAGTGCGGTGAAAGGAAACAATAGAGTGACTGCGAGGAACATGATGAATGAAAGTGAATGCGCAATTGGACCAAACGGGTGAGACATTTGATTTTAGATCCGGACTATAAATAAATATCGCGGACGGTGCTAAGGTCGGACATTTCGGAAAAAGAACTCTACTACAAGGACTACAACAAAATGGGGACATGGGGAAAAAGTGTATTGTTTGTGTACTGTTATATAATAGTGTTGCATTTGACTGTATTGTGTCGTATATTATGCTATGTCGTTTATGTTGCATTGTGTATGTGTGTTTGTTGTGTGATAACTAACGTGTGTTGTACGTTATATCATGCATCATATCGGAAGCATTCCAAGACGAAAATCTTCATTTAAGATTTTAGCTTTTAGGACCTTGCGTTGTGATGTAACAAAGTTCATTCCCAGCCCCCTGCCCTTACTAACAATGTCCTTTTATGGTCCTCGTTCCTTACCTGTGACGCCTGTCCTGACCCGCTTCTGATTGGTGTTATGATATGACGTACATGTGTGACGTATGTATGACGCGTGGTATATGTCGCGCCGGAGCGGGCCGAAGCCCCGGCAGTAGCAGTCGCAGTCGCAGTCGGACCGAGTGAGAGCCGCTCCCTCGCCGGTCGTTATTCTTCACTCGTTCTTTTCGGCTCGTCATCTCGATTGAACTCATTATCTCGGACATTCAAATATATCGTGGAAAAGTGAAACAGTTTATTGGAAAAGCACGAAGAACTAGACTATCAACGAACATTATTACACAGCTCAGCTATCTCGGGTCAGGACCGTGACCTATGAAAGGACCCAGAGAGGGATCTAACATCGGTGACTCCCTGCTTAACCCTAACAATCCCCACTTTTTTTGTCCGCGATATAAAAAACACATGCGGTTAGAGTACCTGTGTCGATTTAATTAAAGTTTATTATGTCAAAGTTTCACAACATCAATCCGGTCTGCATGTCTGACTGCTCGCAGAACGGTTCTAGAGGCAGTGTCAGCGCGCGCGGAACGGTCCTCAGATATGTCCACTTTCAAGCGCGGAACGGTCCTTCTGCGCCACCAGACTCCTCTCCCTCTCCCCTCCCCCTGTCCGCTGGTCTATGTCAGACGCCAGTACACCACTGACCTCCCCTACCCTCTCCTGACCTTCTCAGGTGCCAGCTGAGACGCTGGTCGGCCTACAGAACCTGCTCGTTCACCTGCGGGACGTCTCGGCAGAGAACGCGCACGTCTACCAATACCGACTCTGGGACGCTAAGAGGGTCAAGGTGGAGACCGCCCAGAACAGGGTATGTAACACAGACCGTAACACAAGCCGTAACGCAGGTCGTTACACAGGGCGTAAAATAGATTGAACACAGACCGTAACATAGATCGAACACAGACTGTAACACTGGCTGCGTACGTGGGGGCACTCGGCCGGCCGGAACTGGGCTGGATCCATTGGGCAATGAACAGGTGCTTTCTGTGACAGCGTCACCGCTGCAGGTCAGTCAGGGACACACAGACACTGCACCCGGCGCCCTTGTGCATGGTACAGGGCTCGCGGGTTTTAGCGGTAGGTTTTGCACCTAGAAAATTTAGTGTACTTCAGGCTATATCTTCGTCGTCTTAAGCTTTTAAGTGTTGAAGATGCGATCGACTTGTTGGGTAACAAGCCGGCCATGATCGTGTAAAATGGCTTCATCGTAGATCGATTAGTTTCTGAGATATAACCGGAAATGTAAAAGTGCAAAACCTACCGCTTAATCTCGCGAGACCTGTGCCTGAGCCCTGAGCGCGCCCATATGTCGCCCCCAGGGCGTGTCGCCGGACGGTTCTGTGTGTCGGACTGAAACCTGAACCTGCCTGAGTGTTATGCTATGACTCCCCAGGGCGTGCCGCCGGATGGGGCGGCCGGCTACCGGGACGGGCTGCGGCGGGCCACCAACGGCCACCCGCTCTCCGCCGAGGAGGTACAGAAGGTCGTCAGCCGGGTTAACCAGCTCTCCAGCTAGCGGCGCAGAGTTCAGTCACCGCACCGGGCGTATTGCACGGGGACCCTAACAGACGCCTCACTCCTTTCCCTCATCTCAGTTGTTCTTTCATTTTTTTATTATTATAAGTAATGGAGACAGACCAGAGCATTTTCGGTGCATTTATTAGGGTCATGTTACTCCAACGGGGTTGCGTTGTCGGCACAGTCCTGTCTGGTCTGTGTGCTGCGGCGATGCTCTGCCATCCGGTGACCCAACGCCACTGTCCGCTGACCGAGTGTCGGCTCTCTGCTGACCGTGTAACGTCTGTCCGTCAGGGTGGTGGCCGTGAACGCCTGTCGGACGGCGCCGGAGGGCAGCGCCGGCCGGCTGCTGTCACTGCTGGAGCAGCTGCGGCTGCCGGACGCCGGAGCGCTGCCCGACTGGGGTCTACATCCTGGTATGTTACTGGGAGCGGCACGGTGTGTGTTGGGTGCTTCTGACGGTCAGTTGTAGTAACTGTTAGTTCCTCTACTGGCCACCAGGTGAAAAGCGTATTAGCTGTACAGCAATGTAGAGTTGTTTATGTAGGAACCAATTCTTCGACACCAGTAATGCGTATATTGATTCGGTAGCTTTCGGAAGCTTCTGCTCCCTTCGTCAGCCGTGCTTTAAAATGCATTAAAATACAAGACAATACGTCTCAAACGTCTCAAACACCTACCAAAATACATACCACCACGAGGTATGTATCCTGCTCACGACCAGTGAGCAGGAGACCGGTGGCCAGGAGACTGGTAAGCAGGAGGACAGACAGGAGACCGGTGAGCAGGAGGAGACTGGTGGACAGGGGGAGGACAATGGAGATAAGTGGGTGGTCAATCTGTCTGGGGTAAGCCTAAGTGACGATGAGGTCAGTGTTGTGAGGTTCAGACGCTGGAGTAGCTGGTAAGCTGTATTGCCGCCGTGCACACCAAAACAGAACTGCCCTCACATTCCGCTTCACAACACACATTGACACGCACTCCACTCGCAAACCAATCAGAGCTGACATACATACATCGGCAGGTGGGGTGATCAGGTCACGCCACCTACTCCCAACCAATCACAGGTGAGCACATCACGTCAGGTGGGGTGACCCAGCGCCCGGCCGCCCGTACCGGATCGAGCCGGTAAGAAGGGAGGCTGACAGGCGAGGCCCGGACCAGAACATCTCCCCCTTCGCGGAACTTCCATCAGGAAGTTAGTCGCGGTAGCCGAGCCTGTCTGGAAGACGTCGCTGCCGTGAGCTGCGCCTCCGGCGCGCAGGGGGCAGCTGAAACCGCACCCGTCGCTCTGGAACGGTGACAGAAGAGTCTGAAGGCTCTCCTTCCTCCAACGAGGACTCGTCCTCTGCAGGTGGCTGGTGTGATGCGCGGAGGAATCGTCTGTTCCTCCACAGGACTCGACCACTGGGTAGTTTGACGTGGTAGTCGCGCCTGTATCCCACACCGACGACGACGCCCACCTTATCCCATCGCTTGCTGATAGGATCCTGAAGGCGGACATCGGCACCGATCTTAAATGGCATCAGCTGACGAGAGCAGTTGTTGTAGTGCTGCTCCCTCTTGAGGCGGTCTTGAGCAGCCTTGGCATCACACGCCTCAGCCTGCAACTGCCATTCTGGAGCGAACGCGCTCCGATGTGCTGGAACCCACGATCGGATTGGGTGTCCGAAGACGATCTGTGCCGGAGAGCGTCCACATGCACCAGGTGTGTTCCTCAGCTCAAGGAGCCCTCGATGAAGTCGCTCGTCGTCAATGGACCCGTTGGTGGTTGTCTTGGCGATGAGATGCTTGACAGTCTTCACCGCTGCTTCAGCATGTCCGTTCGACTGGGCATAGTATGGTGTTGACATGACGTGCACCACTCCCCAGCGCTTGAGGAAGGCTGCGACATCCCGACTCTTGAATTGGGGACCACCGTCCGTCCGGAGTCTCACTGGGACGCCGAGCGTGACAAACGCCTCTCGAAGCGACTGGATGACTTGTCGGCTGGTGGTGTCTCCACGCGGGAACTGGAAGATGACAGGCCAGTTGGAAAGTCTGTCCACGTAAACCAAGAAGTCTCGCCCTGCCAGAGTGAAAATGTCGGACGACACATCTTCGAAGACCCGAGATGGAGGTGGTTCTGTCGCCATAGGTTCTGGTGGCAGACTCGGTCGACGCTCTTGACAAGCAGCACAGGAATTGACGATGTTGATGATGTCGCTGTTGATTCCAGGCCACCATACAGTTTGACGAGCTCTGCGTTTGGTTCTGTCTATTCCTTGATGGGAGGCGTGCAGTGCTTCGAGCGTCTTCTTCCGTGATGCTGTGGGGATAACAAGGCGAGAGCCTTTAAGGATCAGACCATTGTGGACGGATAGCTCCTGACGGATGCTCCAGAATGGAAGAAGAGAATGAGGTAGGAGCTCCTTGGATGCGGGGAAGCCCTCGGCGATGGCCTGCAGAAGCAGTTGATACTGGTTGTCCGAGCTGGCAACTTCGAGGAGCTCCTCCAGGCGTAGATCGGACAGATGATCATCAGACAGGTCGGATATTTCTTGCACTGTGCTCGTGCACACTTGGTGAACATGGCTCTCCACGGCCTGAGCCAGCTGGACATCTTCATCAGTGGGCTCGGCGACAGGGGCACGCGAGAGAGCGTCTGGGATCACGTGCTCTTTCCCGCGTATCCACTTCGTGGTGAAGTTGAAGAGGGATGTCTTCTCTTTCAGCCTCTGCAGGCGCGAGTTCTCGATGACATCCAGCGTGAAGTCGTTGAGTATAGGTAGAAGTGGTCGATGATCGACCAGGACCTCGAAGTGCGGCAGTCCTTGTAGAAAGACGCGGCACTTCTTCAGTGCCCAGACGACCGCCAGAAGCTCCAGCTCTACCATCGCGTACCGCGATTCCGTGTCGGAGAGAAATCTGGATCCGCACTGCACCATCCGCCAGTGATCGTCATGCCGCTGCAGAAGAGCGTAACCCAGGCCCTTCCGTCTTGCAGCGTCAGTTTGAAGCATTGTTGGCAGAGTAGGGTCGAAGTGTGCCAGCACAGGTGGTGACGACAGAGCCGCTTTCACCGCGTCGAAGGATGCTTGGTGGTCTGGAGTCCAGATGAAGCTGCTGCTTGGCTTCAGAAGGCTGCGAAGAGGTTCAGCCGTTGCCGAGATGTCTTTCGAGAAGTCACCCAGCTGCTGGACGAGACCCATGAAGGATCGCAGTTCTGTGAGGTTAGTGGGTGGTGGGAAGTCTGTGATAGCGGCGACCTTGTCGTGCTGAACCTGCTTTCCGGCAGATGAGAGCTTGAATCCGCAGAAGGAGACTTCTTCTTCAGCACAACAGAACTTCTTCTCGTTGAGGGTGATGCCATTCTCACGACAACGGTCGAGAAGAGCTCGAAGATGGTGCTCATGTTCTTCCAACGTCTTGCTGTATATCATGATGTCATCGACTACCTTGACGAAGTTGTCGAGACCTTGGAGAGCGAGGTCCCCTCGCCGGCAGTACTCGTCCCCAGTCGAGATAAGACCCATGGGAGCTCGGAGGAACTTGAAGCGACCCCAGGGAGTCATGAAGGTGGTCAGGTGCTGACTGTCCGGGTGCAGTGGTAGTTGCCAGTAGCCAGACTTCGCATCTAGAATCGAGAAGAACTTCGCTTCAGTGGGCACTTGTGAGACGGCTTCTCGAGGCGTGACGAGTGGATGGAGTGGCCGCTTGACGAACTTGTTCA